ACGGAAATTAGGGGCGGCCATCAAGCTGAAGAAGGAGTCCTTCCGAGCCTGGTTGGCTCGTGGGACTCCTGACACAGCTGACAGGTACCGGCAGACCAAGCGGGCTGCAGCCCAGGCGGTTGCAGAGGCAAAAACTCGGGTCTGGGAAGAGTTCGGTGAGGCCATGGAGAAGGACTATCGGTCGGTCTCGAAGAGATTCTGGCAAACCGTCCGGCGCCTCAGGAGGGGGAATTAGTGCCCTGTCAAAACTGTTTATCTAATAGAGTGCATCATCATTATCATCATCATAAATTGTCTTAACAGTTCACCATACAGGCTATCAACGCCTCTCAGAACATTATGGGAAAAACTGTGATGAAAATGCTTCACAAAGGTAGTTTTTGCAGAGCCATTCTACATAATTGCTTTAGAGAGTGTGCATATGTGAGTCTGATGAGGTCTTTGTGGCAGTGAGCATTATATCCGTTTACTGGTTAAGAGTATTGGAGGGGTGTACAGTAAAGTGATTAGGGCCATATTCTATAGATCATACTCAGGACAAATTCTCCCTGCAAAATTAGACATAGACCATCTCCTGACAACAGCTGTCTGCTGTATACAAATTAGTCAGCAGTTCATTTCTAAGTAAGTTAGTAAGCAGTGCATGGTGTGTATCCATAGAGAGGTTATTGGAGTTGTAACAGACCCAGGTAATGTGGGTGGGTGAAACTCTTGTGAAAACTCTTGAAACTGTTGTGGTTCTTGTCGAGGCTTCCTTTAACTGTGTTTGTGGTGAGAGTTCTTTGCCTCTGTGTCAATGTCAGTCATAAAGCAATGTTGGCAAAACATGCTATGCTTTCAGCATGGAGTATGCTGTATTTAAATGACTTAACTCGTTTTCAAATTAAATTACTTTTTCATAACTTGAAAACAAAAAGAAAGTGAAGTCACTATGTTTTTAAGTATATTAACATTTTAATTTATTCAGTGCATAATTAATTTGAGCGTGAACAACAGACAGGGGACAAATTAAAAAGCTCATGGCATGCTCATTGCCAGCCATTTAATGTTTAATCTTGGGTACCAACCCAGCTCAGCACCTATGGCAGATTTTGGAGTGATGTGTTAGACAGTGTTTTCCACCACCACCACCATCATCAAGACATTAAGTTTCTTGGAAGAATGTGGTTCATCCTTCCAGTAGTGTCCAGAGACTTGTAGAAACAGTGGCAAGGTGCACCGAAGCTGTTATGATTGCATGTAGTGGTCCAACTCCTTTTGTTGACTTTTTCTTTCATTTCTCACCCGTCTTGCATTTGATTGATTTCAGAGATGATGTTCATGACTTTATACATAGTCTCATTTTCTCAGTGGCAAAAAAGTGACCAAAAGGATGCTACAAAAACTACACATGTAGTTTTATAGAAGCCAGCTGTTTATTTGAAGCAACCTCTGCAGTACCTGTAAAGTGAGTGCACAACTTCAGAAAGTGTGTTACTGCTGCGATAAAGTCATTTAATATTGTATTATTACAGGTGGTGAAATGCTTCACTGTCAGTGCACCTCTGCAGTTGCTTTGTTTTGAGCGGACTCAATTGCCATTGTCAGTCAGGACAGCCTGACAAGACTATGGACATTTATCAGTAACAGAATGGAAAAACTGTGTGCCTACATTGAAGGGGCTGGGTAATGTTTCTTATGATGATAATCACTGAAATAATGTATGTTAATAAGGTGCCTAGAGTAAATGCTCCATATGTCATTGTTTTAATTATTACAAGCCATTTAGTTCTAGTTTATATGACATGTATAGTTTTTTTTAATTGTTTTATTTTAATTATTTTTATACAGTTCAGTTCTTGGTGAGTCATCTGATATAGCTCCATGATCTTATTGTATAGAATACTTGCTCTCTTTACATGTCAAATTATGTGTTTAATTTAAATATCCTCTGCTTGTTTAGTCTTGTTAAACTGTATCTTACAGTAGGTTTAATTTTTGCATCCCATCCTCCCAAATCCTCAAGTATTCTAGAAATGTGTGATTACATGCTGTATGTTACATATTTATTAATATACGTTTAGACGAGCCCATAAAAAAGGTCACGGTTTAGCCCTGTATTTTCCATGACAAGTGTTATGTAGTGTGGACACACTGAAGTAGATCAGTCTTGCTACTTTTTTCCAGTGTTAAAAGTTGCTTTTCCTGCGTTTTATGCATGTGTCCTTTTGGCAAATCAAGTAAATATTACTTATGATGCAAAAGCATAAAATGGTTGCTGTCAGTGAGTTTTATTTTTACCGCTTTTTTGAACAAAGTGCTATGGCTCACAAGTGTGTCATATCGGAAACTAAATGTTTAGTTCTGTTTTGAGCCTGGTAGAGTCCCTCATCATATCAAAATAATGAAAAAAGAGCATCTTATTTGAGTAACTGTTGACAGCTGAAAAAAGAAAATGACTTTAGATACTGTTCTGGGAGTATTGTGATATCACACTTTTCTCAGTGTTTGGTCAAACTGTATTGTTAACAAAAATGTTGGGGCATATTTAACTCATTGTAATCAGTTATGTTTTATTAATTCTGAGCTGTGCGTATTGCTTTGTGACTGTCAGTGAATATTTTTACCTATTGTTTGCCTCTTGCAGAAGTCCTGATAGTGAGGTTTGACACACAGGACACCGGAAAATCTGACTAGGTCATGGCCAATCGGGGAGGTGCTACGAGACCCAATGGACCCACTGCAGGCAACAAGATCTGTCAGTTTAAACTGGTGCTGTTGGGGGAGTCAGCTGTTGGGAAGTCGAGCTTAGTGCTCCGCTTTGTCAAGGGCCAGTTCCATGAATTCCAGGAGAGCACAATTGGAGGTGAGCTTCATATCAACAGACCACCACACTATTTCTTATCAGCTGCCAGTTGGCCAAACAGGTGGAGTTTTGTGATTGCTGGACAATATCTGTATCTGAAATAACTTGTTTTTGCTTTTATTCAAATATTTATAGCTAATTATTAGCTAATATAGCTGATCCACTAATAGCAAATTGCAAATTTTTTGAGAATGTTTTGCTGTAGTCATAGTAGCACCTTAAAGAAAGATTCATATTTAAGAATTTGGAAATGTTATTTTATTGTCAAGATTTTGGTACTCTACAGAAATCTCTCTTCACTGTAATTACTGCTTAATTCTACAACATGAGCTACAGTTTTTTACATATATGTGAGAAGTTATGTTTATAACCTGTTTTGTTTACATGGCTTTGTAAAGAGCATTATCTTGGTGTAGATATTCATCTAATGCTGACTCATCCCTCATCTTGTCCTCTTCCGTCAGCTGCCTTTCTCACCCAGACAGTATGTTTAGATGACACAACAGTGAAGTTTGAAATCTGGGACACTGCAGGACAGGAGCGTTACCACAGTTTGGCACCTATGTATTACAGAGGAGCACAGGCTGCCATTGTGGTGTATGACATCACAAACGAGGTATGTTTATCCCTCCTCAGGTTATTTATGCTTTTATTTCCTGATATTGTTGTCACTTTAAGTTGTACTAAAGGTACTTATCCAGAACTCAATCCTTCACAATGCAGCCAGAGTACTTCTACAACAAGTTAGGTACAGCTACTGACAAATGGCACAATTTCTTCTTTTGAAGGAGTCCTTTGCACGAGCAAAAAACTGGGTGAAGGAACTGCAAAGACAAGCTAGTCCTAATATAGTCATTGCTCTGTCAGGCAACAAAGCTGACCTAGCCAACAAGAGAGCTGTCGACTTCCAGGTCAGATCAAACTGTCTTCTCTTATTTTTTGCATTTCTTGGGAACATGCTGCTCTTATTTCTAATGGGTATCTCTCTGGCTTTGTTTAGTGTGATTACATCCAGAGCATACAGTACTATAAAAGTGATTAGAACCATTACTTTCTGCTGCCCTCACTTTATTTCTTAATATCACCTGTGCTTGTGTTTCACCTAGGCCAGAATACTTACAGTGGTGTGAAAAAGTGTTTGCCCCCTAAACCTAATAACTGGTTGGGCCACCCTTAGCAGCAACAACTGCAATCAAGCGTTTTCGATAACTTGCCATGAGTCTTCCACAGCGCTGTGGAAGACTCATGGCAAGTTATCGAAAACGCTTGATTGCAGTTGTTGCTGCTAAGGGTGGCCCAACCAGTTATTAGGTTTAGGGGGCAAACACTTGTTCACACAGGGCTATATAGTTTTGGATTTTGTTTTCCCTTAATAATAAAAACCTTCATTTAAAAACTGCATGATGTGTCTACTTGTGTTATCTTTGACTAATATATTAATTTGTTTGATGATCTGAAACATTACAGTGTGACAAACATGCAAAAAGATAAGAAAGCAGTAAGGGGGCAAACACTTGTTCACACAGGGCTATATAGTTTTGGATTTTGTTTTCCCTTAATAATAAAAACCTTCATTTAAAAACTGCATGATGTGTCTACTTGTGTTATCTTTGACTAATATATTAATTTGTTTGATGATCTGAAACATTACAGTGTGACAAACATGCAAAAAGATAAGAAAGCAGTAAGGGGGCAAACACTTGTTCACACAGGGCTATATAGTTTTGGATTTTGTTTTCCCTTAATAATAAAAACCTTCATTTAAAAACTGCATGATGTGTCTACTTGTGTTATCTTTGACTAATATATTAATTTGTTTGATGATCTGAAACATTACAGTGTGACAAACATGCAAAAAGATAAGAAAGCAGTAAGGGGGCAAACACTTGTTCACACAGGGCTATATAGTTTTGGATTTTGTTTTCCCTTAATAATAAAAACCTTCATTTAAAAACTGCATGATGTGTCTACTTGTGTTATCTTTGACTAATATATTAATTTGTTTGATGATCTGAAACATTACAGTGTGACAAACATGCAAAAAGATAAGAAAGCAGTAAGGGGGCAAACACTTGTTCACACAGGGCTATATAGTTTTGGATTTTGTTTTCCCTTAATAATAAAAACCTTCATTTAAAAACTGCATGATGTGTCTACTTGTGTTATCTTTGACTAATATATTAATTTGTTTGATGATCTGAAACATTACAGTGTGACAAACATGCAAAAAGATAAGAAAGCAGTAAGGGGGCAAACACTTGTTCACACAGGGCTATATAGTTTTGGATTTTGTTTTCCCTTAATAATAAAAACCTTCATTTAAAAACTGCATGATGTGTCTACTTGTGTTATCTTTGACTAATATATTAATTTGTTTGATGATCTGAAACATTACAGTGTGACAAACATGCAAAAAGATAAGAAAGCAGTAAGGGGGCAAACACTTTTTCACACCACTGTATCTGTGTCAGGATATATTTAAAAGTCATGGTGTTTGTGCTGTGTTGACAGGATGCTCAGGCCTACGCCGATGACAACAGCTTACTTTTCATGGAGACATCGGCCAAGACATCTATGAATGTGAATGAGATATTTATGGCTATTGGTGGGTAACTTTTGACACTTTATTCATGAGTTTTGGTGTGCATTTATAGAGCAGTAATCAGAGCTGAACTGATGAATCCTACTGTTGTTTGTATACAGTATTTACTCCTATTACGTGGATAATTGAGATCAGGCTTGGGTTCTAAGTTTTTTCATTTGTAACTCCTGCTTCCTGCAAATGCAGAGTTGCAGTTTCTTATCTTGTTGTTTAATTTGGTCTCATTTTGCTCTTCAGCGAAAAGATTGCCAAAGAGTGAGCCCCAGGCTGCAGGAGCCAACAGTGGGCGAAGCCAGGGCGTGAACCTGACAGAAGCCCAGCCAGCCAAGGCTCAATGCTGCAGTAACTAACATGAAGAACACCTTCCCCCCCCAAGACCAACCTTTATAGCAGTAACTAATGTGGCCAGTGCCCCAGATGCCACTGCAGTTACTAATGCAATGTGTTGTACTCCTCTCTCCATTTCCCCGATCTGCAAAACAAGAAAAAAATGCCCTGACCCCCTCTTCTTTTTGCAGTAGCGAAGTCAATGCCATTACACTGATCTGTTCATGTGGTTCTGCCTCCTTTCCACCACTGCTTCTGCTGGCCCCTTGGTTGTTATACCTATCAATTATTATTGATGGAGTAATGATAGCAGATCTTGGAGACATTCATACACCCTGCCTTCCAGCACCTTCCTCCCAATGTGTAGATAAGTGTTTCATTTAGAGGAAGTGTTTACTTCCCTTTTCTGGATTAGCTTCAAACATTACTACTGCATTTCTAATTCAGTTTTTTGTTTTTCCTGATTAATTTCTTAAAAACCGTTTGTGGATGCACGTCTGTTTACTAAAACAAAAAAACTATGTTCATCCTTTTCTCTACAGTAGCAGGGAAGAAAAAAATGTCATAGAGGAGAGTATTCCCATGAATCTGAGATAGAGGAAAGGTAGACGGTGGAGAGAGAAAGAAAGGAACCTCCATGCCTTTTATCTTCGGGGCCCTTCTATCCGAGCGTTTAAAACATTCTCTAATTCTTTCCCACTGCAGTCCACATGCTTGTCCCCAGTAAACCCAAAGTAGCACTAGTGTAAATTCTCTTCTAGCACCCTAAGGCTTCGTTCTGGGGCTATGCCTGCTTCTAGCTGTTTCCTAGTGGCATTGTGCAATGTTTCACAGTATTTACTCTGTGACTTGAGTGTCTGCAAGGACCAGTGCAGTACAACAACAACCCCCCATGCTCAACTCAGCAGTGTCACAGCCTCACCATCTCCTGATGCAGTGCCCTTTCATAAGTCTTGTGTAGTCTTGTGGTTGTACTGGGGTCTCTATGGTCTCTGCCTTTGAATCATTTAGTTTATACAGATCACTTTTTCACTTGTATACAATGTTGCTAATCCACTGCTGGGTTTGTACCTGGTTAAAAAAAAAAAGTGAAGGTGATGGTAGTGAGTGGGAAGTGGCAATATGTAAGGTTTCTTCATAATCACATTTGAATCATAATTATTTGTCATCTTCTCTGAATTAGGATGTGTTGTAGACACGGTGGTCTGTCACTGTGAGGAAGCTGGGCCTGGGCCTGCTACCCGCTGACAGACAGACATTCATAGACTCACTCATACATGCCAATTTACATGTGTGCGTGTTTGATCACACATTTGCACACAGACATGCATTGCATCAACTTCGTTTCTCTAAACTCTGCTACACCACTCCCTCACTTATGTTGAGCGCCCCACACACAATAAACATTGTTACACACAGACACACAAGCACATTTCCATACAGTACATTTGGTCACTAACTTTCTACAAGTTCGTCTTACTCATGCCTTGCACTAATGATGCCCTTGAATATATCTTGTCATAATTATGACCAGTGTGATATAAATATATATATATATAAATATAAATAT